TATTCACTCAAAGAAAGGGGTTCTCCGTTATTGGGAAAATCCAAGGACGTATTGTATTAGTTATACGTCCTTGGAAAATCTTATCTGATTCAGGATCAATTTATCGGTTACACTCCCCTATCACCAGTGATTCTTTGTGAACTGACATTCTAAGGTATAGGTACTGTTGACTATCAATTTGCATGATTAGTTACAGATGTCGACTCGGACTACTGCAGAAGACAATAATTCAGTTCACTGATTTAGATTGAATAGTGGTTCGGTTTATCCCCTCTTCCCCAAACAAGTAAGAATTAGGTTACATCTTTTGGTAGTCCAAATAATTATGTATTTATGACGTCTAGCAAGGCTATTTTATTTTTTTATGCCCCCGCCGTAGCGGTGGGGGCATTAAGTTTTACCCTTGTCCGTCTGTACGTACATACGTCCGTACGTCCCAAAATTGGTTTCCGTTCTCTATCTTGAGTTTGCCTCAACCAAATGTTAAAGTAAAAACTTATACACAATGCTTATTACCACAAAACACAGATCAAGTTTGAATTTTGGTGGCGTCACTTTAACCATTCTAGAGTTATGCCCCTTTATAAATGGAAAAATTGCAAAATTTTTAGTTTCCGTTCTCTAACTTAAGTTTGCCTCAACCAAATGTTATAAAACTTATACACAATGCTTATTACCACAAAACACAGATCAAGTTTGAATTTTGGTGGCGTCACTTTAACCGTTCTAGAGTTATTCCCCTTTATAAATGGAAAAATTGCAAAATTTTTAGTTTCTGTTCTCTAACTTAAGTTTGCCTCAACCAAATGTTATAAAACTTATACACAATGCTAATTATCACAAAACACAGATCTAGTTTGAATTTTGGTGGCGTCACTTTAACCGTTCTAGAGTTATGCCCCTTTATAAATGGAAAAATTGCAAAATTTTTATTTTCTTCTAAATATCAAGTAATTTTTAAAATTGGAATTATCTTCCTTTGTCCATTATTATAGTTGAATCAACTACAATCAATGCTTTATACAATGCAATGTTTAATTTTGACTTCCACTGATAAAACACAGATCAAGTTGAATTTTGGTAGTGTCACTTTAACCATTATTGAGTTATGCCCCTTTATAAATTGAAAGATTGCAAATTTTTAGTTTCCATTCTGTAACTTAAGTTTGCCCCAACCAAACATTATGAAACCTATACCCAATATTCATTACCACAAAACTAAGATCAAGTACAAATTTTTTGTTTCCGTTTTCTAACTTTAGTTTGCCTCAACCAAATGTTATGAAACTTATACACAATGCTTATTACTACATAATCAGTCAAGGATATAACTCTATAGGGTTATTAGAGAAAAATAACATACGCTTGTTATTGTGGACAAAAATATCAAAGAACTGTGATAACATATGTATGTTACATGTTTCAAAGGGACAATATACATCATTAGTTTTGTTAAAATGTATACAAGTTCTATTGATATTGCAACTGTCTTTATGTATACTAAACTATAGAAAGATATAACAGTTCATAGTTTGCCAATCATGCATATCACACCTATGTTATTACAGAAAAAATATGCCTGTAATAACTAAAGGGTGTTATTATAGCTTCTCTACATCACTTCAAAGCATTTGCTCAGACATAGAGCATGCTCAATTACAATGTATTTTAATTTATTGTAAGAAGTAATGATCAGAGCATGTAATGAGATTCTGCGCAAGCTTCCCAGTAATTCCCAGGTGTCTCATTTAATAAGTGACATGCCTTTAATAACTAAGCCTTGTTATTACAGCTAAATTAATCACTTAAAAGCCTTGTCTCATTGATTTAGCATGGTTAATGAAAAATGTATTAATCTAAATTTATAGTTAGTTATCAAGGCTATGCATTTAGTTTCTGTGCAAAGTTTCAAGAGTTCCCTAGAGCCCACTAAATATAAAAATGTTTAAGATTTATTTTACAAATAACAAACATATGTTATTACAGATTTAGTAAATTTAAGGATTAAAGAGTACACAACTCATAAAAGTATCTGTAATAACACATGCAAGTTATTTTCTGTAATAACCCTATAGAGTTATATCCCTGACTGATAATACAGATTAAGTACGAAATTTGGTGGCGACACTTTTACCATTCTTGAGTAATGTCCCTTTATAAACATAAAAATTGCTGAATTTTTCGTTTCCGTTCTCTAACTTTAGTTTGTCTCAACCAAATTTTATAAAACTTATACACAACCGTTCTAGAGTTATGCGTGTTTACAAATAGAAAAATTGCTGAATTTTTAGTTTCTGTTCTCTACTTAAGTTAGCCTCAACCAAATGTTATGAGACTTGCACACAATGCTTATTACCACAAAACTCAGATCAAGTTCAAATTTGGGTAGCGTCACTTTTACCGTTCTTCAGTTATGTCCCTTTATAATTTTTCTATCTATCTATCTTCATATTTCCGCACTCAGTCACAACTTTGACTATTACGTGCCCAGAAAAAAGTTAAAATAGCCTTGCAAAACGTCATAATTATTTGGACTAATCTTTTGGCAAATATGGTCGTACCACAGGGGTTTGTTACAATTTGCCGGTTTTCTATCCTAAGAACCCTGAAAAACTTACCAGGCCAGGTGATAAAAAATCTGTCTCCCCTTTTTATCCCACCAGAAAATCAAAAGGTTGTCTCCTTACACCTACATGACAAAAACATATACAAATATGGTATCATTGCCAATGTGACAGCTCTTCAACAGAAACTAAAAACGTAGAAGTTAACAACTATATAGGTCACCGTACAGATTTCAACAATGGGCTAAAAAGCCAAACTGCGTAATAAGCTACAAAAGGCTAAAATAGATAGACAATATCTGACAAGGGTAGAAATGTTCAGAATGTTGAAAAAAAAATCTACTGTCCATTTGCATCAAAACTGGCAGCTGACTCATAGGAGTTGTTGCCTTAAATACAGATTTTCACCATTTTTTTTTTCTTCATATTTCTTGAATTTGCCTTTTTATCTCTAAAACTGTAATAATTATAGAGAAACTTAAATCTTATTAAAAAGTTATTGCTTTTCAATGATGATTTTGATCCAGTTTTTGCAAAAACTTGGAAACTTTAAATCTTGGGTAAACTCCTTATATTATACTGCCTGGTCTCATGGTAGCGTGTTCACCTCACGTGCATGAGGGTTGTTTATTTTGAACCCAACCGGGTTAAAACTAAAGACTTTAAAGTTGGTATTTGCTGCTTCTCCCCTAAGCACACAGTATTATTAAGGAGTAAGAGCAAATACTGGTTTGTTCAGAGCCAGAATAATGTGTCAAGGTAAGGTGAGATGTCTCTCTGAGAACTAGTGTAAGAGATAAATTGTCTGGTCAAACAAATATAACTAGTATAAAAAAGTCCATGGATACAGAATTTACTAGTATATTTAGTCCGATGTCAGTAATTTATGTCCCCAGACTAATTTTCCTAGTCCATGACATCACTATTCCTAGGTAAAAATGTCCAGTTTTTCTAATACTGTATGCAACATGTCAAGTATATTTGGTGTATGAAAATTTTTAAGGATGTACATGTTAGTCTGGCATGTTTTATTCGACCTTGACCTCATTTTTATGGTTCATTGCTCAATGTTATTTTTTTGTTTTTTGGTCAGTTTTTCTATTTTCTTATTTTCAAATTAGCAATAGGTCAACTATATTTGGTGTATGGAATGATTGTAAGGTGCATATGTCTGACAGAAGTTTCATCTTACCTTGACTTTATTTTCATAGTACATTGGACAATGTTTAGTTTTTGTGTTTTTTTTCGGATACTGTAAGCAATAACATGAATAAGGCCCCTATATTTGGTGAATGGAATGATTGTGAGATGCACATGTCTGTCTGGCATGTTTTATATGACCTTGACCTCATTTTCATGGTTCATTGGTCAATGAAAAGTTTGCATTGTTTTGTCAGTTTATCATATGCTTTAAGCAACAGGTAAATTATATTTGGCGGATGTAACGATTGTAAGGTGTGCATGTCTGTCTGGCAGATTCATATAACCATGATCGCATTTTATGGTTCTTTGGTCAATGCTAAGTTTTCTTGGTTTTTTATTGGTATGACGTTGGCGTTGTCGTCGTCCAAAGACACATTGGTTTTCGCACTCTAACTTTAGTTTAATTGAATGGATCTCTATGAAATTTTACCATAAGGATTGATTTTGGGGGTTATGGTACCAACAGTTAAGGAATTAGGGGTCAAAAATGGACCAAAAATAAGCATTTTTGTAACTTCCAGACATAACTTGTGTGTTAGTGTATGGATCTCTCTGACATTGTACCACAAGGTTTTATATCACACAGGGAATGCTGGGATTGATTTTGGGGGGGTAATTGCCTCAAAATATTAGGAATTAGGGGCCAAAAAAGGGGCAAAAAACAAGCATTTTTCTAGTTTCATGACAATAACTTGTGTGTAAGTGTATGGATCTTTCTAAAACTGTACTACAAGGTTCCATATCACAAAGGGAAAGCTGGAATTGAGTTTGGGGGTAATTGCCCAAAACGTTTAGGAATAAGGGGCCAAAAAGGGGCCAAAATAAGCATTTTTCTAGTTTCCAGACAATAACTTGTGTTCAAGTGTAAGGATCTCTCTGAAATTGTACTGCAAGGTACCATGCCACAAAGGGAAGGCTGGGATTGATTTAAGGGGCAATTGCAATAAAATATTAGGAATTAGGGGCAAAAAAAGGGGCAAAAAACAAGCATTTTTCTAGTTTCATGACAATAACTTGTGTGTAAGTGTATGAATCTTTCTAAAACTGTACTACAAGGTCCCATATCACAAAGGGAAAGCTGGAATTGAGTTTGGGGGTAATTGCCCAAAACGTTTAGGAATAAGGGGCCAAAAAGGGGCCAAAATAAGCATTTTTCTAGTTTCCAGACAATAACTTGTGTTCAAGTGTATGGATCTCTCTGAAACTGTTCTGCAAGGTAACATACCACTAAGGGAAGGCTGGGATTGATTTTGGGGGTATTTGCCTCCAAATTTTAGGAATAAGGGGCCAAAAAGGGGCAAAAAACAAGCATTTTTCTAGTTTCAGGACAATAACTTGTGTGTAAGTGTATGGATCTTTATGAAATTGTACTACAAGGTTCCATATCACAAAGGGAAAGCTGGGTTTGTGTTTGGGGGTAATTGCCCTAAATGTTTAGGAATTTGGGGCCAAAAAGGGGCAAAAAAAACCAAGCATTTTTCTAGTTTCCAGACAATAACTTGTGTATAAGTGTATGGATCTCTCTGAAATTGTACTGCAAGGTACCATACCACAAAGGGAAGGCTGGGATTGAGTTTTGGGTGATGAATCATAAGGGGGTTCCAAAAAATGGGGGGGGGATTTTTTTTTCCATTTTTTCCTTTTTTTTTCTTTAAAATTTTCCATTTTAAATTGGTTATTTCTGATTTATATATAAAAGCAAATAATAATGATATGGTTTGAATAGGTAAATTAAAATTTTTTAAGTTCTTAGACCACATTCATTCTGTGTCAGAAACCTGTGCTGTGTCAAATATTTAATCACAATCCAAATTCAGTGTTGTATCAAGCTTGAATGTTGTGTCCATACTTGCCCCAACTATTCAGGGTTTGACCTCTGCGGTCGTATCAAGCTGCGCCCAGCGGAGCATTTTATTCATTTAATCAGATATTATAAGCATATGTCTACTTGTTGGTGTATGGCATGACTGCAAGGTGTCATATAAAAATAAGAAGATGTCTGTCTGCCAAGTTTAATATTACTGTGACCTCATTTTCATAGAATATTGATAATATCAAGCAAAAATGATGAGCAAGACAAGATACAAATGATCCAAAATTGTCAGTTGCCTACTCATTATGTAATAGTAGTTATTGTCATTAAATGATAATGTTTACCCTTTTATGTGTAGGGCAAGAACATTAAAGATAAATGGAAACTATAAACAAAAGAAACTATCAACAAAAATAGATTTACAGACGTCAACAAAGCCTAAATGGTAAGTCCACTTCTATAAAAGTTATTGCCCTTGAATAATGATTATTATGAAAATAAGATGTGGTATGATAAATGAGAAAACTATCCACCAGAGTTCAATTAAGTGGATGTAAGCAATGCAATTACTTATTAGAGGCCAATGATGACCTGTAAATAATGACAGGCAAAATATGGCAGGGTTGATATAAAAATAAGAAGCGGTATGATTGCCAATGAGACTTTTCTCCAATAGAGATCAAATGACATTATATTTAACAAAATTAGTTCACTGTACAGCCTTCGACAATGAGCAAACCCTATACTGCATAGTAATCCATAAAAGGCCATGAAATAAGAAATGTAAAACAATTCAATAAGGGCATGGCGTCATTTAAAAAGGGCATGGTGTCTATCCATGCTAAACATGCTTGGGGGAAACACCACAAAGGTGAAAGCTAAGTGCCTGATTTTTACACAAAACAATAAACAAAAAACAAATATGATATATAGCAACAATTGACAACCACTGAATAATAGACCCCTGACTTGGGACAGACACTTACAAAATGTGGCATGGTTTAACATGTTTGCTGGTGCCAAATCCTCCTCTAATTAAGGACAGTGGTGTAAGTGTCAGTTCAATATAAAAACTATAAAATCAGTTGAAAAGGGTTTTTTTTCTGCTCTTGGGTCAGGTTATTTTGATACATTCCCGTTTACATTCTCAATTTTATTAACTCATTAGAATGCAACAAAGCAGAAAAACAGCTACCAAAAACACAGACCGGATGTGGCTGGAAATTTATTCTTTCCCTTTAACAAAAAAGACTCAACATACAGATCTATTAGTACTCACAGTTACTGACAGCTAGTTCAAAGCAAATATCAACTTATAAAATAAACATTTAGTGAGCACCCAACCCACCCCTAACCTGGGACAGTGGTTTTAATAACAGCACAACATTTGAACAAACTGTAAACATTTGTTGCAATTGGCTTAACTCAAAAGACTGCAACAAGGCACAAAAAACAACTAATATGAAAACCATAGACACAAAGCACTGAAATAAGAGTTCTTACAATTTTAAATATTCAAATGAAATTTTTATCAAAATGTACATAAACATGATAAAATAGCCATTTTATTGCTGTATTTCTCTTCATTTATAATTTTTGAGTTTTGTGTATTTGTAGGTCAGACATCTTGGTTTTCATGATCATCATTCAACAGGTCAATACTGAACAGCAAACTTAAAGTTGATATTTTTCTACATAGTGTGACTTTTTTATTAATTTGAAATGGAATGTGTTTTTTTTTCCTACATAAGAAAGAGGAAATTTCAACATAATGACTATAAACAAAAAGGAGTCATATCATCATGATCATAGATGCTCAAGAACTTAATCATGTCAATGCAACAACGTAATTATCAATTGAAAGAAGGGAGGAATGAAAAAATATATTAGTATTTTGTTGTCCAAATGAACTTGCTTTGTCCACTCATTTAAATCGCTCCATCCAATAAAGATGTACGGAGGAAGATTTTTGAAGAACAGATTGCAAAAATGTTTTGTCTAAGAATTGTAGGAATATTCTAGTGAATGAAATAATTTATTTACTTGACTCTTATATAGTGGACTGAATAATTGTTCATAGCAAGCTGAAACAAGAAAACTAAAAATTAACAGGAAAAGTGTTTATTTTATAAATTTACAAATGTAAATGTAATATTATGAACACCATAAAGGAATAAGATTCAAATCGTTTGCATATTCATGTATTGCAATGGAACTATAACAAAGAAAACTTTACCTCATGAAAAGAGTAAACTATTAACTGTGCTTTGTCAATTTATTCAGTCAGAATATGAAATATTTTTTTCAGTTCTATTTTTCATAATAAAACAAAGAAGACAAAGATTTCAAATCAATATTTTTTTTCTTTTATTAAGACGTCATCATTTTATTTCAGTTAAAGGATTTTATTTTTTGACTTTAAATATTATTATATTTCCAAAATAATAATAATCTTTATTGTCATATAAACAAATTAAAAACATGTTTGTGACAAAATGAAAAAAACCAAAATACACTCATATATATATTATAAACTTTTTACTACCAAACAGAATTCATTGTAACATACACATTACTGTATATTTATAATTTGAATTCCATAGGATTTTATTTTGTCCCATGGGATATTAAAAATCCCATGGGATAATTATAGTCCCATGGGATTTTTTTTGTCCCATGGGACAACAAATATCCCATGGGACTACAATTATCCCATGGGACCCAAAAAAATCCTATGGGATTTAACCAAAATCCCATGGGATAATGGTCAATCCCATGGGATTTGCCTTATCCCATGGGATATTGAAAATCCCATGTTTTTCTAAATCAAATTACAAAATATATATAATAATAACAGCAGAAAAGCAATGAAATTATTGAATCCCATGTAATTCCGCACATTTTGGTTATTTACACGACACTGTAGGTCTAAGGAGAGGCGGCGGCGGATTTGCAAATGAGTGTTTTGCAAATTAAAAGTGTCCAGTGTTAATACCTTAGACTATTTTCAAAAACTGTCTGAATACCCTGCAGACTGTAGTTTACGCGCACATTCACCAACTACGTATTTCCACGGCTAACAAAATTCACAATCGTATCTTTTAATTTGTTTCAATTTATTTCAGTGTTTTTTTTTCAAACTTTTTATGTAAATAATTTTGGATCAACATCGAGTCAGATTAAATTATGATTTACTAAATGATTAATTAAAACTGAAATATGCATCCAATCTAAATTTTACGCCTATTATCACCTACCGGGTATATAAAAAGATTTAACAGAACACAATTCATGTTTTATATTTAAAGAAAAACATGTACGCTAAACGAAACTATGCACGTCAAGAAACGATGTACGCTAAACGATACGATATACGCGAAACGAAACGATATACGCTAAACGATACGGTATACGCTAAACGAAACGATGTATGCAAAACCATACGATGTACGATAAAAGGGCGCTTATGTTATCGTTTATGGTATGGTTTATGGTACATGGTTTCGTTCGTACATCATTCGGTCAGCGTCCGTACAACGTTCGGTCAGCGTTTCGTTTGCATTCGTACACCGTTCGGGAAGCGTACGTACATCGTTCGGGCATCGTCCGTACATGATTCGGGCATCGTTCGTATTGTTAACTTTTACGTTACACGGACTGTACTTATTGATACGTAAGTCGTAAATGCATGATTTTTTTATTTGTTGTTATTGACTTTGAACTAGTTTTCAGTAACTGCAAATATTTCAAATCTGTACTTCGTGTCTCAATTTTGTTGCGTGGATGCACAAGTTCGCTTCCACGTTCGGTCTGCGTATGTCTTTTTTGTATCGATATATGCAATTAAGCCCTTTTCAACCTGTTTTTATAGTCTGTTTTTATGTTGTTATACCACTGTTCTGGGCTAAGGGAGGGTTGGTGACTTCTATAAACTAGTTTAACCTCGCCATATTCCGTATGTGCCTATCTCAAGTCTTGAGAAAATAATTTAGTTGTAGTTTGTTGTTGTAAGCCATATTTGTTTTTCGTTCATTATCATGTTCATCAATAAGGCCGTTAGTTTTCTCGTTTGAATGGTTTTACATTTGTTATTTCAGGGCCTGTTATAACTTACTATGCGGTGTGGTTTAATTCATTGTTGGAGACCGGACGGTGACCTATAGTTGCTAACTTCTTTTCATTAGAACTTTGGTGGAGAGTTATCTCATTGGCAACTGTACCTCGTCTTCTTATTTTTATATCTCTATCTCAAATGTTTTGGTTTGAACCTTCTCGTTTGCTTATGATGTCCTTCCTTTACATTGAATAAATACTCAATTATTGCAGAAAATTGTCGGAATTACCGATGTTAGGCTATCATTAGGCGTATATTACCGGTATTTGATTATCTGTTTAGAATAAGCTACAATATTATTAGAACCTTCAAGTTATTTTTTACGCTGTGATACGATGAATTTATGTGAATATTGAAAAACCTTTTTTTGAAAATAGCCCTGATGCAAAATCAATTCAGGAGGAACTGGCAATACCTCTTCACTTCTAACACGCAGAAAACATTCATCAGGTCCTGTGATGTTGTCTTGTTTAAGACAATAAGTTTTAAAAAATCTATATAGTGTATCATACAACGTTCAGACAATTAAAGCAATCCATTAATTGTAATTTATTCAACCTTTCTATGACTATTATAAAAACTAAACGTCTAAACATATCTAAGATAGTTCTACTGACGACATGTAAAGTAGTACAAATGCAAACTATCAATAGATAACCATGTCCAGAAAAACGGAGAAATATAGGTTAAACTCAACCTCACACGAGAGAGAAAAATGGATGTACAGACAGGAACATATACAATCCTCGTACTTAAGGCAGGAAATGAAAAGGTTTGCGAAGGGAAATGATACACGTGTAACTCCAGCTGCGCAAAGTATAAATTAAAAGAGGAAACAGTATTTCAAACGAAAACACTACAATACACACCAAAAGCAAAATAGTTATCATCAATACACTGTATTTGTTGCCAAATTACTAAAACTAGTATGACATACATATGAGATAATTTGAACATATGTTCATGTTAAATGAACTCATCATAGATACCATGATAGGTTTTATTAAACAATAGTTATATCAAAAATAAAAATCTGAGTGGGCAATCAACTTAGTCATCACAAAGAAACGTATCTAAAATAATCTTTTAGATAAGTTTCTTTGTGATGACTTAGTTGATTGGCCACTCAATTCTAAATCATCACAAAACTTATTTTTATAATTTTTAAAAAGGTCTAGAATTGCTAATTTCATCAACAATGGAATCATAACGACCTCTGATCCCTGTTTTGTTAAAATCAAAAACAACCATTTATAGTTTGCATTTCATGGGCTGCAAGCTAGTTCACCATAATATCAGATTATTACATGGCATTTTTCATATCAGATGTATTATCAGCCCAGGACTCTAAGACTCGAGGGTTGATATTGAGAGAAGGCTGATAATACATATGATATGAAGAATGACATGTTATCATATTTGTATCATATGCTTCAATAATGAAGAAAAATGACAGTTTAACATATTGATCCTTTTAAGTGGTTTTCAAGTAGAAGTTAAAAAATGTCAAAAGTTTACAGACGTTGGACACAAAATGTAATACATCCGATATAAAATCTTTATATCATATGTATCAACAGAGGAAAAAAACAACAGAATAATATATTTTTATATTGACGATAACAAAATTCAACAAAATATAATAACCACTGTTTAGAAAAGTCAACATTTGTAAAGTAACTTTCTAAATTATGCTGGACAAGTTGACAAATTCATTTATTGTATAATTATTTTTTAATTTAAACATTATATATTTCCTGTTTCTTAATAATTGTTTTGTACCCTGCTTTGTAATGTTTTTAACTAAAATTTTCCGTTGACGTATATTTTAAGGAATTTGCAGAGTACTGCTAGAACGCCATGCGATATGTTCAGGAAAGGCATGTGATAACAGTCGGAAGCATGTGAAATGCTCTCATATCAGCCCGCTAAACACTATTTCGCAAAATACGGAATTCTCGTAATTTTAATACTATTTTCATGCTGTAAAATTATAAGTTATTTTCTCTAAGTATATGCTTACTCCTAAATGAAATTGCGAAATAAAAAACAAAAAAAAATATTAAAGACATGATTAAAGACATGATGGTATGTACAAGTAGTTCTGTTGTTAGCGTTTTATACTTAGGGAAACACAATCAAGAAATAGTTTGTTTCGCAAAGATTCGCGGATGGACGGACGACAAATCGGCGACTATATATTCCCCGATTATTTAGAGAAGAATTATTCTAGATAGATGAACGACAATCATACCTTTCATTCAAACTTAATAATTTCGTTTTCCTGAATATATTCTTTCAACGACAAGAAACTTTTGATTTTCTCTGGAAGCGGAAGTGTTGAAATCTTTGTTTCAATCTCAGAACCATTTGATACCAGTAGGAGTTGCTGTCGAATTTGTTTTCTACATATTGTTATTAAGGATTTAGGACCCTTATCAAAGTTCTGCAAACATGATTTGAATTCTGCCTTTTTTGCTTCAACATCATGCCGTTTATAGATGCGGTAATTTGTTATGATATTTTCAATTATATCAAGCTTTGAGACATCAAAGGTATAAAACCATTCTTCCTTCTCAACATCCCATCCACTACGTAGCAAATATTCGGCAGTTTGGAAAAGTCCGTTACTAATTAACAAATACAAGGCAGATTTATTTCTGTTTGGATAATTCCTGAAAGGTTATAAACAACAGTGTAGATTACAAGATTAAAAATACGATATCGAAATTGTAAATCCCTCCAAATTCCATGCATATATAATTTATACTATTCTGCTGAATAAAGTTTAAATCTACTACACAGTATCTCATAAACCCCTTCAAATTCAATTCCATACCCAATTTATTCATTTTCAAAAATCTGCGTTTAATACCATGCATAGGTACGCTGACCCGGAGAGATTTATGAAAATTAATTGCAGAAACTATAATTAGTAAGTTGCATACTTACAATGGTGTTATATGTACTGTATTTAATGATGAAATTCCACAGAATGGTTCAATTGTGTCAGTTATTACAGGACGTAAATCTGCACCTCCACAAACGAGTACATTCAATAAGGACAAATCTACCGTTTGAGTGCTACAATTTTCTGCCGTTGACAAAACTGTAACATTTGTCATTTCCTTGATCATATTTCCCACGACAATATCGAGCGGCCTTTCGCCACTGTTGGATGCTGCATTTAAATTTGATCCATGCTTCACCAGAAGAGTTGACATTGCAAATCTATCCTTTGATTGACCTATAAAAATACGATTGTGATTTAAAACAAATACAAAAAAAGAATATTTATAAATAAGAAATGAGACACATTTGTAGTTAAAATAAATTGAAATCAAGTACAAAAGTTAACATATTACACAGGCATTCAAGTTAAGAGGGTAAAATCGAGTGTCTTTTTGGATGCGAAATATGCGAAGTTGATTAGCTTTTCAAAATCAAAATTAAACAATGCAGCTGATTTGTTTTACATTTTTCAACGCTTTTGTCATCATTTTGGTACACCAAGGGACATAACCGGTTTCTTACTTCACCGAGATATTGAAAATGTCACACTTTTTATTTTTTCATTTTTAAATAAAGTTACGCCCCGGTGATTTGAAAGCTGATATTTTTACTGTGGTCTCCGTTCCACACTTGATACATGCAGATGTCCGTTGTTGTGTTCTGATTCGTATTTTACAGAAGAAATAGCTTACCTGGACCGAACGTTATATACTGACTTTTTTAAATCTATATATCGACTTTATTTATATGTGTAATTATTCATTTTGTATTTGTTTATACTTAGTTTCTGTATAACGCGCCAAATGTAACGTTACGTGTTCTTGTTTATGAATAACTTGTGTATTACGTAACACGTAACGACGATTATGTATAAAATACGGAACGCATGTTCCTACTGGAAGCTTCTCTCCAAGAACATCCACGCAGTAAGCAGTCTCTCTTAAACTAGAATTTGCTGCACCAAGTAAGAGTACTTGGTGACAATATTAAATGCTGACGTACTGTTTGCTCGGGTATTTCGCTAGCGATGCACCGAGTATGCTGAATATTTGAATGCAGTGCACCAAGTAGATTTTCATGCACCAAGTATGCAGAGTATTTGAATGCAGTGCACCAACTAGATTTTCATGCACCAAGTAGATTTTCTTGCACCGAGCGCTAGAAGGATTGTTTTATTAAACTTGGTGCAATTAATGCACCTTGCTGTATTACTTATTGTATATAACTATTAACGTATTTTGTTTCATGAACCTCTATATTTGATGTATTGTTTAAATAGAAGCAATACAATTTATGAACTTCCATTATGATTTTTATTATTACTTCCTTCACCGGAGGCCCGGACAAGAAACCCCGGAACGTTACAATAACATGCAGTATAGCTTCAACAGCAGTTACAAAGTCAATTTCCATAAATGTTACGTTTTCAAGGGTCACTTGTCACCTAGAATAATCCACATGCCCTTGTTTTTAAGCTGTTAAAAAGGTATTTTCTCTTATTCAGAACGCAGGTCTAGTACGATACTGTTTATATTTCTTTTGGAAGTGCACAATGTCTTGAGTTTTTCAAACTACTTATAAAATATTTGATCTATATCCATTTAGTGTGTAATGATTGTTTGTAATTGGCTTTACGATATGTATAAGTACCCTTATATCGATGATTTGTGTTTGTTGTATTTTATGCTTATACTTATAGTCAAGAGACAATAACCATAATCATTCATTTTTAATGCAACCACTTAACATACGGCTTATATGTGATCTCTTATTTGCACACTCGCAAAATATTCGTACGGTGCAGTTTATGTCAAATAATGATGACAAGTCAAAGACGGACAATTTGTTATTTTACAAGAGGTACGCAATTGTTGCATATTCTGTCTTCCGAATAATAAAAGTCTGTTTGGAAATATGAAAAAAAAACTAAAGGACTTTTAGAACAGTGACTATTAGTCAATTGCCAAACGCACTTTAAATTATAAACGAATAATCTTAAAATTCTATAAATTCTAGTAATGATAAAAATGTGTAAAACCAAAATATGTGTCTGTGATTCAATTGTTTATGACATAAAAATCAAACCAAATAGCATATTTCATTTAGTACTAAGGAAGATCTGACATTTTAAAATTTCTGCAATTACTAATCCTTCTGATTACACAACCAATGGTCCATAATGGGACACCAGTTTTACAGATGATAGCGGATATGTCTCAAGTGTCGTATCTACAATCCCGTCCCCGTTTCACCAACGTGACCTACCGAATTAGTCTTATACCTGGGTTTGTACTAACATTGGGAACAAGACATGTCCCACATGCAGAGCAGGATATGCTCCCCTTCCAAACCGCCTGGGATAATCTCTAATTTTTGGATTGGGTTCGTTTTATTCAGTTTTTAGTTTTCTGTGTTTTGTTTTAAGTATTAATACTATTGATTGTATGTTTTTTTAGCCATGGCGTTGTCAGTTTCTTTTCGACTTATGAGTATGGATGACCCTCTGGTATCTTTCTCCTCTCTTTAAGCTGTTCTGAGTTTAATGAAATTGTATGTAGTTAATACTAGGCTAAAACACAGTTAGAAAATGAAACGCAAAATGTTTGAAGGAAATAATTGACGCGGGTCCATACTTTTAAGGGGAGTTTAGGAAGATAAACTTCGATATTTCAATATATAGATTTTTTGCCAGTCTGTTACATGTAAACACTCGTCTGTCTATTCTTGAAAACATATGTTTACCGCATATACCTTGTATATTCCATTACCATTTTTTAAACCCGTTTTTTAAATATGGTAAATTATTTTCTCCTAATATTGAAAACAATCAATGTGTAATCTAAACTATTCAAAGCAAAATAATTTCTATTTGCAGATTGAGGTATTGAGTGCAACTGCAAAAGCTTCATTAGAAGGCTGTTTCCAGACAATTTTCATATCAACCGCAATTTAACACGAAGAAAAGTCCTTAACGACAATTGGAACATATACCATGTATACGTCGTCATCTGGGAAACAGATATTCCGTATTGGTGAACACACTCGTGATGGCGTCAGTAAAACTTATGAAGGAATAATTTAACCTTCACCACCTGGAACTAATTGTAGGTTATTAGTCAAGAATTCACTGACCAATGCAATGTGTTTACTCCGATTATAGCTTTATTCAAAGATAGTATAAAAGATGTTTCAAATTTCTGGTTTGAACTTGCATTTATTTTTACTAATCATCATCAAATATATAGATATGAAAAGATGTGGTATGAGTGCCAATGAGACAACTCTCCATCCAAGTCACAATCTGTAAAAGCAAACCATTATAGGTCAAAGTACGGTCTTCAACACGGAGCTATGTATGCTTCATATATTTCTTGAACATCAGTGCTGAATTACACAATTTGATAACATAAAATTGAGAATGGAAATGGCGAATACGTCAAAGAGACAACAATCCGACTAAAGAGCGTATACTCTTATACATGTAGTACTAAGTCTTTATCCTCCTGCAATTGTAAAACATAAAATTGACTTCACTACAATTACCGTTTAAACTAGTATACCCCATTATAAACTGAAAAGATGATTGAAAGAACTAGTTCAACTTTGTTTTATTAATAAGAATAGCCAATGAACATAGCCAGTGAATACGGTTTTGATTGCAAATCTTTGATATTGTCTCAATGTCTATATTCACAATTTTGTTACTAAGGTAAGGTAAGAATTTGATATATATATATATATATATATATATATTGTATATACGACTTTCTGTTGTTATATGGAGATACGATGTGCACCTCATGTAATTGCTACCTTATTGTCGTATAAGGTCACATCTATTTAGATCAAAAACTTATTTGTAATTTTAACATCTTTATGAAATCACAGTGACTACGCCTGTAACCTTTCTGTACTTAAGTGTCGATATTATATTAACCTTTTCTTTATCAACAAAATATACATAGTGTTGATAGGCTTCAGTAATTTAAATCTTTTATACATTTCCCTGGGCAACATAACCGCTCTTATGATACCTCCTTCCTTTGTCTCAGCTTTTACCTATTTCATTCACAATTAACACTTCACTTACCGAGGTTACACGCATAGTGCAAAGCTGTTTTCTTTGTATCGTCACACAAATTTACGTCTGCTTCATACTTGATAAACTCTTCAACAAGATTGATGTTACCGTTCTGAACACAGTCAATAATATTAGATCCTTTTATTTTGCGTCTACTTGGATCAGCTCCCTTTTGCAGTAGTGACGATATAAACGAAACCAAATAAGTTTTATTTTTGTTTTCCAGAAAGCTCTGCAATGAATTTTGTAGGCAGAATCCTATCTTTGGATCTGCTCCGCTCTTCAAAAGAATATTTCTTGTTTCAACGTTTGTTCCTGTGTACGAAAACAATACAATAAAATACAATATAATGATGATAAATGGTGTTAACCATGATATTGAGTGTTGGTGCGGTACACTACTAGAAGAAAACAGAATTGCGGAGTTACATGTCAAATATGTCAATAAGACTACAACCAAAAGTGAAGAAAATATTAATAAAAATATTAAAGGCAACCAATGGGTCTTCAACCCAATGCGAAAATTACGCACCAGGAGGCGGGCTAAAGAATAGTGTACATGTATACTAGATCATCGCAATGGACGGTATACTAAACTTGTCAATGAAAAAAAAAAACGATACTAACAAAGTCTAGAGGTTCAATAAATTAAGGGTACCAGTTAAATTTGCCTTTATAAAATTGTCAGAAACAGGTATATCATTGTCTGTCTGATTAGCACTACAATGTGGTAGAAAGGCTAGAACGAAGTTTGATTCAATATAATAATAAAACATGTGTTGTTTTTTTTTTTGAAGAAAGGAAAGATGACTTTCCTCATTATTTATTAGATCTATAATTCCTTAGTTCAGGTCGTTTTTTTTTAAATCATCTGGATTATATTTAGATTGATTGGTTCGAAAATATTACTGGTGGTTGGAATTGGCTAAAGTAAGATACTTTAAAGTCTTTAAAGAATATTTGGACTTCAAACCGTCAAAGAATGGCGAAGATACCAAAGAGACATTCAAACTCATAAGTAGAAAATGAATTGACAACGCCATGGCTTAAACAAAGACAAATAATATTTTCGCTGAATAAGTACATATTTTTGTTTATGGGCCAGCTGAAGCCCGCCTACGGGTACGGGATTTTATTGCTGTGTTGAAGACCCATATTTGTGGC